TTATGCATATGGACTTATATTTATTTATTGCATATGGTAATTTATTTTAAGCGCTGCACCTTTTTCTATCTTTGCTTTTTTCAAAGGATTGACTGCCTTTATGGATAATTTGCATCCTAATTACAGAGGCTCTTCATGGGTTGAAGGCTTGGGAACGGTTCGAGCTGCGAGCATGCTTGGCCACAAGTCAGGTTTAGCAGTCCAGATGAAAGAAGTCTGCCCACAAATGATCAGCATACAGTAATATACTAAAAGGGTGCAGCGCTGGTAAAAATCACAAATTATTATTATTATTATTATACAGTATTTATAAAGCGCCAATAGTTCGCTCAGCGCTGTACATTACAAAGGGGGACAGAACATGTGACAGAACAATTCCAATACAATGCAAGACATGAGGGGATCGAGGGCCCTGCTCTTTCAAGCTTACAATCTAGGAGGGAGGGGATGGTGGCACAGGAGGAGATAGCTGTGGGATGGAGTGGTAGGAAGAGTGGAGGAGGTCGGCAAGTTAGCAGGGGGCGGGGTAGGCTTCCCTGAAGAGATGGGTTTTCAGGGTGCGCCTAAAGGAGAGGAGAGTAGGTGATAATCTGATGGGTTGGGGCAGGAGTTCCAGAGGATGGGCGACACCCTGGAGAAGTCCTGGAGGCGGGCATGGGAGGAGGAGACCAGGGAACTAGAGAGAAGGAGGTCTTGTGAGGAGCGGAGTGTGCGTGCTGGACGGTACTTGGATATTAGTCAGTGATGTAGTTCGGGGCAGTATGGTGGACAGCTTTGTACGTCAGCATTAGGATTTTGAATTTGATCCGTTGCGCAATCGGAAGCCAGTGGAGGGATTGGCTCGAGGGGGGTGGCGGAAACGGAGCGGTTGGAAAGGTGAATGAGTCTGGCAGCCGTATTCAGGATGGACTGAAGCGGGGGATAGCCAGCGGCGAGGCAGGCCAGTGAGGAGGGAGTTGCAGTAGTCGAGTCGTGATATGATGAGGGAGTGGATGAGCTGTTTAGTGGTTTCTGGAGTTAGGAACGTGCGGATTTTTTGGCGATGTTGCGGAGGTGGAGTCTGCACGAGTTTGTTAAAGAGTGGACTTGGGGCTGGAAGGATAGGTTGGAGTCCAAAATGACACCAAGTACTCTGGCCTGCGGGGCGGGTTTGATGGTGGCGTTGTTGGACATGATGGAGAAGTCAATGGGGGGTTGGTTGTCCGGGCTGGAGGGAAGACAAGAAACTCGGTTTTGGAGAGGTTCAGTTTAAGGAAGTGGAGCGACATCCAGTCTGATATGTCGCTCAACAGGTGTGTGATTCGGGCGGAGACCGAGGGGGTGAGGTGGGGGGTTGAGAGATAGATTTGTGTGTCGTCGGCATAGAGGTGTGTAGTTGAAGCCGTGAGAGTGTATGAGTTGGCCAAGGGAGGAGGTGTAGATGGAGAAGAGAAAGGGCCCGAGGACAGAGCCTTGAGGGACCCCAACAGAGAGGGGGAGTGAGAGGGAGGTGGTGGCATTATAGGTAACGCTGAAAGAGCGTTGTGACAGGTAGGATGAGAGCCAGGAGAGAGCAGAATCTCTGAGGCCGAGGGAGTGTAGTTTTTTGAGGAGGTGGGGGGTGTCGACTGTGTCAAAGGCCCGCAGAGAGGTCAAGGAGTAGGAGCACTGAATAGTGGCCATTAGCTTTGGCGGTTAACAGGTCGTTGGAGAGTTTGAGTAAGGCAGTTTCGGTGGAGTGTAGGGGACGGAAGCCGGACTGTAGGGGATCGAGGAGGTTGTTGTCGTTGAGGTGAGAGCATAGGCGGGCGTAGACTAGGCGCTCGAGGAGTTTAGATGTAAATGGGAGCAGGGAGATGGGTCTGAGGTTGTTCGGGTCATTGGGGTCCAGGGGAGGGCTTTTTAAGTATGGGGGTGATGTGTGCATGTTTCAGAGGGGAAGGGAAAGTGCCGGAGAGGAGAGGGAGAGATTGAAGATGTGGGTGAGGGAGCGTAGGATGGAGGGGGAGGGAGGTTGTAGGAGTTGTGAGGGGATAGGGTCAAGGGGGCAGGTGGTGAGGCGGGCATCAGAGAGGATCTTGGAGACTTCTTCGATGGTAGTAAGGTCAAAGGTGCGGAGTGTTGGGGGAGCTTCAGTATGAGGAATGTAGGGTGGGGTGGGAGAGGAGGTCAGAGCAGTGGTGGGGGGCCGTGGGAGAGTGGGGTGTAGAGGGGGTAGCTGAGTGAGGGGGAAGGGGGTTGGAGGGAGTTTGAGCAGCGACGAAGTCCCTGTGGGTTATGTCGAGGGTGAGGGGGGATGAGGGGGTAGCTGTGTGAGAGGGGACGGGTTGAGAAGGCGTGTGAGTTGCGGCAATGTCCTTGCGAATTGTGTCAATCTTGTTTTTGAAATGATTGGCAATCTCAAGGGCAGTGAGTGAGGTGCTGGGTGGAGGTGGGGGTGGCGAGAGAGTAGAGAGTTGAAGGTGGAGAAGAGTCGGCGAGGATTGGAGGAGAGGGCCTTGATGAGGGTCAGGAAGTAGTTCTGTTTGGCAGTATGGAGGGAGGAGGTGTAGGTGTGGAAGGCAGATTTGTATCGGGTGAAGGCTTGTTGGGATTTGGTTTTGCGCCATAGTCGCTCCAGGGCACGACTGTGTCGTTTGAGGGTTTTGGTGTGATCAGTCTGCCAGGGCTGGAGCGGTCGGGGTCTGATGTTGCGTGTGGTTAAAGGCGCTAGTGAGTCAAGGGCTGTTGACAGCGCATTGTTGTAGGCGGTCATAGCCAAGTCGGGGCAGGACAGGGGGAGGATGCGGTCATGGAGTTGATAAAAAAAAAAAAACTGCGGAATGGAGGGAGGCAGGGTTAAGGTTGCGGAGGTTACGGCTGGTAGTAGTGTGACATTTGGAGGGGTAGGCGTTGGAGGACGAGGAGATAGAGAAGGTAATCAGGTTGTGGTCAGAGAGAGGGAAGGGGGTGTTAGTGAGGTTGTGGGGAGCGCAGCGGTTGGAGAAGACAAGATCAAGGATATTACCGTCGGAGTGGGTGGTGGATTGTATGCACACTGTGCAAGTTGAAAGGAGGAGGTTAAGTGGAGGAGACGGGCTGTGTCCGGGTTGTCGAGGTTGACAGGGATGTTGAAATCCCCAAGGATGATAGTGGGTAGCTCAGAGGAGAGGAAGAAGGGTAGCCAGGAGGAGAAGTCTTCCAGGAAGCGGGGTATGGATCCAGGAGGCCGGTATATATATATATATGCTAAATTCATATATAGATAATTAATCATCAATAAGGTGACATTGTGCAAATTCATATGCAACTAGAATCTGTGACTAACATTGCAAAACCAAAAAAAAATATTTTGAGCATACCAAAAGGTGACAGTGTGGTTGAAATCACAGACGGACACATAGACATCCACAAATTAATGAGCCTTGTATATAAATAGATAAGTAAGGTGACATTGTGCAAGCATATATGCTACTATAATATGTGGCTAATATCGTGAAAGATCTATAACCAAACTAAATGAGTCCAAAAAATGTGAACAAGATCGCTGATGATCTTCAGGCGTCCAATAACCAGAAACGTGAAAAAGGTGAGAAAATAAGGTAAAGACTGCGCACTCACCAGATACGCAATCTTTATGCACATTTGTATATCATAAAAACGCATCAGACGCCCTCACATAGGTCTGGTCAGATCTGGTTATGTAGCCTCCACTGCTTCATAATCCATACTCCAATAGCATATGCTCTGCAATCATGATGAGTTCCCACAGGGGCTCAAAAAACAGAGGAAGCCAATAGTGTAGTATGTCAAGGATATTTATTCCATGGATTGTATGGGTTGTATTTAAGGAATGGCCAGACTCACAGTCAGGGCCTTGGCGTGTGTTTTTCCATGGGCCCCTGTATCTTGTAACCTGCATTCCTGTTCCTGTTTCTGCCTGACTTGTTGCCGACCCTAACTGATCCTGACCTCTGCTGACTTCTCCTGTTTGATCCCTGGCTTGTGACCCTGACCATTCTCTCCGCCTGCTCCTCCTGTACCTAGCCCGATAGTTAATCGACCCGGCCTGCCTGCTTACGTTGTGCTCTATATGTGTATGTACCTGTGTATCTTTATCAGTTTAGGTTTGGGTTTGTTTCACCTTGTTGTATGTATTTGTGTTAGCTTGGGGTTTGGTGCACTGTGTTTATATTTGTATTGTTAGTCTCAATAAATTATATTATTTACTATATCTGAAGCCTACGTTTCCCTGTGTCAGTCCACACACTTCTGGTCACACCCGCATCCCTGACAGCTCCATAATGCAATTTACGAATTCCTGCCTCTAAAAGAGTGTTACTGTGTGTGTTTAACCCTCTGTATAACCTGTCTGCAGTGACAGTGCTATACAAACGATTATCTCAACCATCATAGTGTTATTGCTGATATTGTCGAGTTTCCTCTTTCTCTGTACAAAAAGAAGGTGGTGGCAGTGTGAAGGGTTAATTGTGCAATTAACCTGACCCAGTAACAATTGCACTCAGGCTGCTGGTACATTGATTTGTGGTCCATTAGCTGGAAAATCATTGTGCAGGGTGCAGCTGGGTGTGGCATTGTTACGCACGTGACATCGTGGTTTTAGATTGGCTAGTCCTTCGGTCACAAGTTTGGTGAGAAGGTCAGGGGTCTGACGCCACGATCGTCACAGTCTCGGCTCCACTTTTCAAGTGGCCACAGCCCACAAACCGGGAGGAAGACAGGGCGAAGATGGAAGCCTCTGCAGCAGTGATAGCGTGCCGCTGGAGGGTTTCGTTTGAGGTATTTCATAATGTGCTTGTATGTGGTGTATACTAGCACATTATGATCTTAATTTGCTGGGAGTTTTTTTTAATGTGCCTGAGTTTACTACCACTTAAATATACAATGGAGCTTAACTTTAACTTATATTAAAATATTTGTTGCCCAGCGGGTGTTATTTATTAAATACAGGTACTTATATGGCGCTGTCAATTTACACAGTGATTTCCATATACCGTATTTTTCGCTCCATAAGACGCACCTGACCATAAGACGCGCTTAAGTTTTAGAGGAGAAAAACAAGAAAAAAAATATTCTGAACCAATGGACTGCAGACACAGTACAGGAGAAGGACCAGAGACTGCGGACACAGTACAGGAGAAGGACCAGAGACTGCGGACACAGTACAGGAGAAGGACCAGAGACTGCGGACACAGTACAGGAGAAGGACCAGAGACTGCGGACACAGTACAGGAGAAGGACCAGAGACTGCGGACACAGTACAGGAGAAGGACCAGAGACTGCGGACACAGTACAGGGGATGACCAGAGACTGCGGACAGTACAGGGGATGACCAGAGACTGCGGACAGTATAGGGGATGACCAGAGACTGCGGACAGTATAGGGGATGACCAGAGACTGCGGACAGTATAGGGGATGACCAGAGACTGCGGACAGTATAGGGGATGACCAGAGACTGCGGACAGTATAGGGGATGACCAGAGACTGCGGACAGTATAGGGGATGACCAGAGACTGCGGACAGTATAGGGGATGACCAGAGACTGCGGACAGTATAGGGGATGAGCAGAGACTGCGGACAGTATAGGGGATGAGCAGAGACTGCGGACAGTATAGGGGATGAGCAGAGACTGCGGACAGTATAGGGGATGAGCAGAGACTGCGGACAGTATAGGGGATGAGCAGAGACTGCGGACAGTATAGGGGATGAGCAGAGACTGCGGACAGTATAGGGGATGACCAGAGACTGCGGACAGTACAGATGACCAGAGACTGCAGACAGCACAGGGCATGACCAGACACTGCTGACCTTTAGGGAGGGATGGGGGAGCGCGTATCTGAATTTGACAGGTACCCGCTCCCACTTCCGCGGAGTTCTCCTTCCTATACTGTGGGCACCCGACTTTGACAGCCGGGTGCCCACTGCGCAAGCGCGAGAAGCGCTGCGCTTCGTGAATGGCCCGGCGTCTTTTGGGACCTGTCATGTGCTTCTTGCGCATGCGCAGTGGGCACCCGGCTGTCACAGATGCCGGGGCGGGAAGAAGCTGGCGCGGGAAGACTACAGTGCTAGACCGAGGAACAGGTGAGTTCCTGCCGCAGAGAACAGCTGAGCGGCCGGCCCAGTATTCTGACATGGTGGCGGTGGAAATACCGGACCGGACACTTTATACTCGCTCCATAAGATGCACTGATATTTTCCCCCCTTTTTTGGGGGGAAAAAAGTGCGTCTTATGGAGCGAAAAATATGGTATATTGTACATCACATCAATCTAAGGTCCCAATTCACATTCATACATACTAAGGCAAATTTTTAGACAGGTGCCAATTAACTGACCAGCATGTCTTGGAGTGTGGAAGGAAACTGGAGTACCTAGTGGAAACCCACAAATGCACAGGAAGAACATGCAAACTCCACATGGGTGGGATATGAACCAACGACCCTATTGCTGCTGCTAGATGGAAGTGCTAACCACTAAGCCACTATGCTACCCCAGGGTGTTAAAGTTAAAAATTAAGCCTTTGCTGCAATATTTACCTGCTGTTGTCTGCAGACTTCCCCTTTCTTGGTCAAGCGCCATTCAATCCCCTTCCAGGCCATCATGGATGCACCTCCTGGGGGGGGTGTCATCAGACTGGCGTGGGCTTCCAGTAGCACTGCACAGAATGGTGCTCCCACAACACTACACGAGCATTATTCTGTGCAGTACTAAGGACAACCCACCTTTGATGCCAGCTAAGAAGAGGAAGGACCTCTGATGCCACATGACCGCTGAATGAAAATTTAATTCAAGGTAGAACTAAAGGCAAAACTTTGTTTTTAGTTTTCAATGAGCGGAGAGGGATGAGACCCAGTCTCGTTTTTTTTGTTGTCTGTCTCCATCGGGAAGAGTCACCCTCTCTCTCTTTATCCTGTTTACCATTATTACCGAAAGTGAAAGAAAATTAAAAATTTTGGGTTGTCACCAGAACAGGAATAGATGGAAAATCTTACAATGGGAACATTAGCTCTGGTAATACCCAGGAATTCTCTCTCACTTTGGAAGGATTTCCTCTCACTTGTAGTTATGGGTCAGGAAGAGAAACTGACAGAGGCTATAACCCCCCCCCCCACCCCACTCTATCCAAAATGAAAAAAAAAAAAAAAAAAAGTTTCACCTTTGGTTACACTTTAAAGTATGCATACAATTTATTTTGTAATTAATAGGAAAGGAGGAGCTTTGGGGGGATTGTGGGGGCAAAATTTGGAGTTCTCCTTTTAATTCTCTTTGGGTGTGTGGTAGCGCAGTAGAACCTTCCTACATATGGTATTGGCATATATCACACATCCAATATCAAGGGTTTTATTAAATGATTCCATTGTGTAGGAATATACAGTACAATGTGTGTATCATAGATATAACTAATAATATATATATATATATATATATATATATTTTTATGAGTAAATGTACTGTATATTCATGTATGTGAAGTTGGCATTCATAGTGGGCCAGACTAACTGCATATTTTACACACCAAAAAGGATAGCCAAGGATGTTGGGTTATCCTGTTTTTGGGTAAATATTAGAGATGAGCGAAGTATTCAAAAATTCGATTCGGCTGATTCGGCGAATTCGCGGAACAAATTTGATTCGAGTCGAATATATTCGCTGCGAATTTAACTTAATATAAAAAGGGTGTTTCTAGGCTTCAGAGAGCCTTTATATTAGTGCAGAACACTGTACCTTTAATTTAAATGCCCTTGGGGTCTGCTGGGGAAGAGAAAATAATACTGTCAGTCAGTATGACATGCAGATGAGTGCCGTCGATCTTAGAGAATCACCGCACACTTCACTCATTTGGGCAGTCACGGGGCCAAAACCAGAGTGTGGAGCCACAGTGTGGCGGTGGAGGCAGCAGCAATGGGAGGCCATACAGCACCCTATGACAAAATGGAACCCACCAGCAGTGTGAGGAGGACCTGAAAGTGGCACATGGCAGAGTGTGGCGATGGAGACAGCAGCAATGGGAGGCCGTACAGGGACCCATGAGACACTCTGGACCTGGCAGCAGCATGAGGAGGCGGTACAGGGGCCCATGACAGATTACGGGCCTGGCAGCAGCATGAGGAGTCGGTACGGGGGCCCATGGCAGATTACGGGCCTGGCAGCAGCAATGGGAGGCCCGTAATCTGCCAGCACCCTATGACAAAATGGAACCCCACCAGCAGTGTGAGGAGACCTGAAAGTGGCACATGGCAGAGTGTGGCGATGGAGACAGCAGCAATGGGAGGCCGTACAGGGACCCATGACACACTCTGGACCTGGCAGCAGCGATGAGGAGGCAGTACAGGGGCCCATGGCAGATTACGGGCCTGGCAAGCAGCAATGGGAGGCCCGTAATCTGCCAGCACCCTATGACAAAATGGAACCCACCAGCAGTGTGAGGAGACCTGAAAGTGGCACATGGCAGAGTGTGGCGATGGAGACAGCAGCAATGGGAGGCCGTACAGGGACCATGACACACTCTGGACCTGGCAGCAGCATGAGGAGGCGGTACAGGGGCCCATGGCAGATTACGGGCCTGGCAGCAGCAATGGGAGGCCCGTAATCTGCCAGCACCCCATGACAAAATGGAACCCACCAGCAGTGTGAGGAGACCTGAAAGTGGCACATGGCAGAGTGTGGCGATGGAGACAGCAGCAATGGGAGGCCGTACAGGGACCCATGACAGATTACGGGCCTGGCAGCAGCATGAGGAGGCGGGTACAGGGGCCCATGACAGAGATTACGGGCCTGGCAGCAGCAATGGGATGGCCCGTAATCTGCCAGCACCCTATGACAAAATGGAACCCACCAGCAGTGTGAGGAGACCTGAAAGTGGCACATGGGAGAGTGTGGCGATGGAGACAGCAGCAATGGGAGGCCGTACAGGGACCCATGACACACTCTGGACCTGGCAGCAGCATGAGGAGGTGGTACAGGGGCCCATGGCAGATTACGGGCCTGGCAGCAGCAATGGGAGGCCCGTAATCTGCCAGCACCCTATGACAAAATGGAACCCACCAGCAGTGTGAGGAGACCTGAAAGTGGCACATGGCAGAGTGTGGCGATGGAGACAGCAGCAATGGGAGGCCGTACAGGGGACCCATGAGACACTCTGGACCTGGCAGCAGCGCATGAGGAGGCGGTACGGGGGCCCATGGCAGATTACGGGCTGGCAGCAGCAATGGGAGGCCCGTAATCTGCCAGCACCCTATGACAAAATGGAACCCACCAGCAGTGTGAGGAGACCTGAAAGTGGCACATGGCAGAGTGTGGCGATGGAGACAGCAGCAATGGGTGGCCGTACAGGGACCCATGACAGATTACGGGCCTGGCAGCAGCATATGAGGAGGCGGTACAGGGGCCCATGACAGATTACGGGCCTGGCAGCAGCAATGGGAGGCCCGTAATCTGCCAGCACCCTATGACAGAATGGAACCCACCAGCAGTGTGAGGAGACCTGAAAGTGGCACATGGCAGAGTGTGGCGATGGAGACAGCAGCAATGGGAGGCCGTACAGGGACCCATGACAGATTACTGGGGGGGGGGCCTGGCAGCAGCATGAGGAGGCGGTAACAGGGGGCCCATGACAGATTACGGGCCTGGCAGCAGCAATGGGAGGCCCGTAATCTGCCAGCACCCTATGACAAAATGGAACCCACCAGCAGTGTGAGGAGACCTGAAAGTGGCACATGGCAGAGTGTGGCGATGGAGACATGGGGCCCCCTTGCCACGCTTGACTTTCTGGCCACATAGTCGACATACGGCTACGTTTACTTCCTTGGGCGGCTTGACGAAAAATTGCCACACCGCCGAGTAGGAAACTTTGCCCCCCGCTACTCCTCACTGGCTGACTGCTACTTCCTCCGTGCACACCGGCACCACTACTAGCCGTGGTGGTAGGCTGCAGTGGAGCTGGTGCTCTACTCCGTGGGCCGTTTGCCTCCACTGACACTGCTGCGACCCTGCTGCCTCCTGGGCAACCCACCGACTGTTTTGCTCGCTGCCAAGCTGGCACCCTCTTCTCCTGATGATGCGGAAGCAATAGCCTGATGATGACGAGGCTGCCAAGTGCGATCAGCCTCATCATCATCAATTAGGGTCTCCGCCTCACTACTAGCCCCCTCGGCTGCGTGTGGGTCAGGAGACAGACCTGTCTCTAGACCGGCTACCGAGCCACTCTCCTCGCCAGTACTTCTTCGCCTGGCTGCTGAAGAGGCGGATGTCTCCCCCCGTTCCTGACCGCCCTCTGTTAGCTCTTCCTCACTGTACAGTGGGGCTGAGCCCACAGCATGCGATACTTCGCTTGGTGAGGGAACACCAAAGGACAGGGGCAGGTAGAGGACACGTGATTTCAGTGGGCTTGCTCCCGGGCCATGCCAACTAACGATTGTGTCTGACGTACCCACCGAACGTTGGCTGTAGGTGTCAGAGGTGACCTGGGAAGAGGAAGACGACCGAGCCAACCAATCGATGACGGCAGGGTTGTCAGTGGAGACACGAACGCTGGATGACATCGGGAGCACTGGCCTCTGGCTGCGACTAGTGCTGCCTCGACCCCTTCCTCTGCTGCCACGTCTGCTCGCTCCTGAAACATTGCCTCCTCTGCCACTCCTCTGCGTGTTGTCTGACATACTCTTTAATTCAACGATTCTGTGTCCCTCAGTAACAATTCTGTGTCCCTGAGTAACAATTCTGTGTCCCTGAGTAACAATTCTGTGTCCCTTAGTAACAATTCTGTGTCCCTCAGTAACAATTCTGTGTCCCTCAGTAACAATTCTGTGTCCCTCAGTAACAATTCTGTGTCCCTGAGTAACAGTTCTGTGTCCCTGAGTAACAATTCTGTGTCCCTGAGTAACAATTCTGTGTCCCTGAGTAACAATTCTGTGTCCCTCAGTAACAATTCTGTGTCCCTCAGTAACAATTCTGTGTCCCTGAGTAACAATTATGTGTCCCTGAGTAACAATTCTGTGTCCCTGAGTAACAATTCTGTGTCCCTGAGTAACAATTCTGTGTCCCTCAGTAACAATTCTGTGTCCCTCAGTAACAATTCTGTGTCTGTCCCTGAGTAACAATTCTGTGTCCCTGAGTAACAATTCTGTGTCCCTCAGTAACAATTCTGTGTCCCTCAGTAACAATTCTGTGTCCCTCAGTAACAATTCTGTGTCCCTCAGTAACAATTCTGTGTCCCTCAGTAACAATTCTGTGTCCCTCAGTAACAGTTCTGTGTCCTTGAGTAACAATTCTGTGTCCCTGAGTAACAATTCTGTGTCCCTGAGTAACAATTCTGTGTCCTCAGTAACAATTCTGTGTCCCTCAGTAACAATTCTGTGTCTGTCCCTCAGTAACAATTCTGTGTCTGTCCCTCAGTAACAATTCTGTGTCTGTCCTCAGTAACAATTCTGTGTCCCTCAGTAACAATTCTGTGTCCCTCAGTAACAGTTCTGTGTCCCTGAGTAACAGTTCTGTGTCCCTGAGTAACAGTTCTGTGTCCCTGAGTAACAGTTCTGTGTCCCTGAGTAACAGTTCTGTGTCCCTCAGTAACAATTCTGTGTCCCTCAGTAACAATTCTGTGTCCCTGAGTAACAATTCTGTGTCCCTCAGTAACAATTCTGTGTCTGTCCCTGAGTAACAATTCTGTGTCCCTGAGTAACAATTCTGTGTCCCTGAGTAACAATTCTGTGGCCCTAAAGTCTCTTTGGCCCTAACTCTGTCCCTAATACAGAGAGGTCTGTCTCTCTTGAATGACCGGAGGCTAATGGAGAATTCTAAGATGGCCGCAATTTATAGCTCGACCATTACACAGTGCTGGCTGGCTGGCTGCTGATTGGCTAATGCGATCACATGTCATGAATGAATGCATTATGGGTCAGCGCGCCTTGTCTGCGCGCCTTCCCAGAGATCCCCGCTCCGTCGCCACACATGTCGCCGCCATTTTTGGAAAATTTTGATTCGCGCATCCGAAGTCTGCTAATTTTCGGAATCAAATTTTTCCTAATCTTCTAAACGAATTCCACTTCGCCAAGTTCGATTCGCTCATCTCTAGTAAATATGTGGAGAGTCAGGGGAAGTTTCAGAGCAGGTTATTTGCAAACAGATTGGGAAAGGTCTTACATATTCATGGTGTGTTTGTTTATGGTGAAGAGAGCAGATTTGCCATAAACAAGACAAGGAGTATCTACCGTATTTGCCGGCGTATAAGACGACTGGGCGTATAAGACGACCCCCCTACTTTTCCTGCTAAAATGTAGTGTTTGGGCTATACTCGCCGTATAAGACTACCCCTCTTCCAATGCACACCAGTTGGAGGAATAGTGCCCCATCATTGATGTCAGTGGGAGGAATAGTGCCCATTGGTGTCAGTGAGAGGAATAGTGCCCCATCATTGGTGTCAGTGAGAGGAATAGTGCCCCATCATTGGTGTCAGTGAGAGGAATAGTGCCCCATCATTGGTATCAGTGAGAGGAATAGTGCCCCATCATTGATGTCAGTGGGAGGAATAGTGCCCCATCATTGGTATTAGTGGCAGGAATAGTGCCCCATCATTGGCATTAGTGGCAGGAATAGTGCCCTATCATTGGTATCAGTGGGAGGAATAGTGCCCCATCATTGGTGTCAGTGGGAGGAATAGTGCTCCATCATTGGTGTCAGTGGGAGGAATAGTGCCCCATCATTGGTATCAGTGGCAGGAATAGTGCCCCATCATTGGTGTCAGTGGGAGGAATAGTGCCCCATCATTGGTGTCAGTGGGAGGAATAGTGCCCCATCATTGATGTCAGTGGGAGGAATAGTGCCCCATCATTGGCATTAGTGGCAGGAATAGTGCCCTATCATTGGTATCAGTGGGAGGAATAGTGCTCCATCATTGGTGTCAGTGGGAGGAATAGTGCCCCATCATTGGTGTCAGTGGGAGGAATAGTGCCCCATCATTGGTGTCAGTGGGAGGAATAGTGCCCCATCATTGGTGTCAGTGGCAGGAATAGTGCCCCATCATTGGTGTCAGTGGGAGGAATAGTGCCCCATCATTGGTGTCAGTGGGAGGAATAGTGCCCCATCATTGGTGTCAGTGGGAGGAATAGTGCCCCATCATTGGTGTCAGTGGGAGGAATGGTGCCCCATCATTGGTGTCAGTGGGAGGAATGGTGTCCCATCATTGGTGTCAGTGGGAGGAATGGTGTCCCATCGTTGGTGTCAGTGTGGGGGGGGGGGATAGTGCCCCATCGTTGGTGTCAGTGGGGGGGGGGGGGGATAGTGCCCCATCGTTGGTGTCAGTGGGGGGGAGGAATAGTGCCCCATCGTTGGTGTCAGTGGGAGGAATAGTGCCCCATCGTTGGTATCAGTGGGAGGAATAGTGCCCCATCATTGGTATCAGTGACACCAATGATGGGGCACTATTCCTCCCACTGAGACTTGCTGACCCTGTTCTCGTATGGTGCTGCTGCAGCCAGCATATGTGGTTGCAGCAGCACCTCTACACAGAACACTTACCTGCTGCTCCGGCACTCAATTTTCGCGGGGCCGCTCG